TGAAAATTTGTATCCATACATACATACACACACACACATCCATTTTTTCTGAGGTATGCTTAAATGTTCAGAAACCTTCAAAACGTCGAGAAATGTAAAAAATTTCAATTTTTATTTTCGGCCCCAATAACTTACCACGGGAAGTTAACAAGTGTCGTTCAAGAAGTTAGAACAAACTGACTAGTATTAATCTAATTATAATTGAAAAATTGAATCCTTTATATGCTTTTTCTTGAACAAATTGCTAAAAAATATTTCTTGACTTTTATGCTTGTATATTTGGTCTTCATTTGTATGAAGGTAATAAAAAATGAAAACAATTGTATATCGTAATACAAATAAACGGACAGAAGAGCCAAATGGTCATCGAATATGCAAAAGATCAAAATCGGAATCGGATCAGAACAGAAATTCTGGGAGAACTAAAAAAATCCTACTTCAAAAAAGCGTTTAGATATTGAAATATTTCCATTAATATTTACCATTTAATTCCAATTTAAAAAGGCAAAAACAATCATCAACATATCCGTGATCCGTGTCACTAATTAACAGAACATAAGAATATTTTGTCCAATTTTTTCTCGAGTTTGCTTTATAGCTTCACACCTTCTCGTTAAACCGCACGCCTATAACTTCCTCTTTCGTGAGTTCGTACAATGAGAAATAAAAAGTTTGGTCGTAATTTACCTGTAATAGGCAAAACGTTAATTGGAATGTTTTTGTGTACAGTAAAATTCAATGACCCGTCGAAATAGCGGTTTTTGATATATTTAGTGTACACAGTTACACAAGACGAAACATTATTAGCCAAGGCGGGGAGGTGGAGTCGCTCGCCTATCTTTCCTAATTTTATATGCAAATATGAACTATGTGAGTTATTTATTGTTCTAATAATTAACACTTTATGAACTTATAGCCATTTTTTGCAAGGACATCGTGAACTCAATATAAAGACGTTTTTTCACTTGTATTATTGATGCTGAATCGATGTGTATAATAAACAATGCTCAAAAACTCTGTTATTACGTTTTTAAAAGAAACATGTTGGTTCACGGGTAGCACAACTTTGAGAATCAAGCATCAAAAATGTTTTATTTTTCATAACTTTATCTTTTTTGCACATTTATTTTAAAGCACATTCACCAATAACTAAGTGCCATGTTCAATATATTTGATTTTATTTTTTCTAATTTATCAACTTAATTTTTCTTTCCATAGTCGTATACTATTTTTTTCTTATTTTTGAGCAGCCTCCTAAACTTTGCTTTTTTAGAAGACCTCTTAACGCTTGGTCCATAAATTAATCAACTTCGTTTTTCTTTCCATAGTCGTATACCATTTTTGACTTATTTTTGAGCAGCAAACAGAATTTAACAGTTTTTGTGCTTTTGTGATAAAACAGTTGGTCCATCAATATTTGATCTTTATTTATTATTAGATTTTCTCTAATTCAGATAATATAGTTTTAATTTGATGTAGCAAAGCTGAATCATATTTTGATCTATATTTTAAATTGGAAATAGATATCACCACTGATATCTTGGTAGTCCGTGATAGGTATCGGATTTGGAACCTTCTGATTGCAAGTCCAAAGCTCTTACCACCAGATTACGGAGAAGCGCCTGTCATAAATTTTGTTAACAATATTCAATATTTTGAATTTTTCATTTAATAATGAATAAGTGTATAATCACTGAAATAGCACAGGCCTTAAATGGTTATTAGATATACTGTACTTCAGTAACAAAATATTTGGAAGTAATTAAGTTTAACGATAGGTAGAAAATAAAATAGCATTTATTACTGATCGTTCTATATTAGCAAAAACCGTTTAACCCTCCGTCGGTCGGATATTTTTTCACCTTCGAACGGTCGGAAAGTCTGGCTGGACCACCATTCATTTTACATGCATTTATATGGGATAAATAGTTTTTGGTGTCTTATGTATTAACGATTATATAAAAAAATTAAGAAATATAAAAAAAATCGTTGCTTTTTTTGTTAATTTTTCTGTTTTAAATCAATGAAAAACAATATATATTCTTTTTCGACGCCTTTGAAATGAATGTGTGCATTACTAATCCGGTTTTCAGTGTTTGCGATTACCAATAAGTTTGGTAGGTTTTCAAGGAACTCTCGTCATGAAAATACTAACATTCATGGTAGAACATATAGCAAAGAATATAAACAACGCAGTTTGAATAGAAAATACCATGAAAAAAGACAAAATACTGGTTTACATATATCAAAAAGCGTATATTTCATACAAAATGTATGGGTGGTCTAGACAGACCTTTCCGACCGTTCGAAGTATAAAAAAGTTAATATCCTTATAATTATCCTTCTGTACATTTTTTCGTCCTGATTTTTTCATTGATCGACAGCTAATGAAATTTTAGAAAAAGTCAAGAAATTTCAAGTCGATAGGATTACTAGAAGTATTTTTGTTTTTTAATTGAAGTCGAAAAAAGTCTGGCCAGACCACGCCGACCGACGGAGGGTTAAAGCTTTGCAAAACTTCATCCAAGCTCGTTTAAATTCCTTGAGCTTGAGCTTCACATTAAAATACCTCAAACATTTAGGCCAGTGTTTAATTAATTACAGCAAATTATATAGCATTTAAATAATTAAATACATATCATATATGGTCATACCATTTAAAATACGTATTTTATCATATTTTTTATGCAAATCTCCGTTCATTAAATCTCTGTGATGTACCGCACGCAAGATGCCTCACGCGTTGAATCAAGTTTATAATCGGTCGCTATTATAACCATATAGTTTTTGATAGAAGCACTTAAGATGTTAAGATTGAAAAACTAGATTTTATAGAACATAACTGTCTATTAATAATATGGGAATAACTTAATTTACATTTTATAGCAATTCCCACATTATGAAGCAGTCTAATCCAAAGCTATGGTAATTTGATCTAAACAAAATATTATGATTTTTTTTAGAACTTGTTTGGATTTAATTAAAAATTGTTCCCATTCATTTTTTTTAATTTTTATACCGTTAAGAATATTTAAATATGGAGCTAGCAAATTTAATGGCTTATTTAATTGATATAAATAGGTGTTTGATATCTAATATAAAAACACAACAAAGAACGCGAAAAGGTTGACGACTACTTGTTTTGGAAAATCACTTTGTATTTAATTATGTTTCTTGATTAATTTCTTCAATTAGTTAAGTATTGTTTCAAATAATTCTGAAATTTATCTATATTTTACTTACTAGAATAGCAAAGATCAACGTGATCATCTTAGTAACTATAACAATTAATTTGATTTTATCTTTGTCCACAGATCCTTCAAGATGCTCCACAAAAGGAAAGTGCTTCTAGCCCTGTTCTGCGTCTTAAGCATAGTTGCAGGCCTCGGGGGTGATGATAAATTTCTGAAGAAATATGCCATGATGAAGGTATAATCGAATATACAATTAGTGATATAAACTAATCACGTTTCAAAAAAAATCAATGAAAATATTACAGAGATATAACAACTTGGCCATTTTGGGATACTGGGCAAACTATTATTATAGTACGAAAAGCTGTGTTCCGAGATAATAATATTTAATCATTTTTAATTATTCATCGTTGTTAACATACTTGTTAACTTCCCGTAGGGCAAGTTATAGTAATCGCAAAAAAATCGAAAATGAACATGTTTATATATCATTACGTTTCAACGGTTTCTGAATATTTTTGCATACCTTAGAAAAAGTGGATGTATGTGCGTGTGTGTGTATGTGTGTGTTTGTGTGTGTGCGGATACAAATTTTCGTCGACGATTTCGGGAACACCGATCAATCGGTTTGAATAATTCAAAAAACATTCGATTCGTATTGATAAGGAGACGTGCTGATTAGTTTTTTAACGGCTAAACCGTTCCGAAGATACGGAGCAAAAAGTGCCAAAAATGGTAACTCAGTTTTTAGAAGAACGGAGTGTTCGATTTGAATAATACAAAAAGCATTTTACTCGTATTGACAAGATAAAGAATTGATCCAATTTTGATGAAGGCAGGTCTAGCGGTTTCGGAGATCTAATGAAAAAAGTAAAAAAAATGCCATTTGGCGGTCAAAAATGAACATTAGACATACGAGTATGCACATCAAATTATAAGATATTTTATAGAGATTTTAACAATAAGTATAAATTTTGTTTACATTCCTATGATGATCACCATTTGTGAAAAAACTTTATAATTTTTATTCCTTTCCAACAGTCATGAATAAAATAGTATTAATACGTTTTCATTTTATTTATCTGATTGAAGTCAATTTGCTTAAGAAAAACGTTTCCAAAAATAATATGAACTTTAAGGATTTTGATGACAGCTCTTGTAAAAATTAATGCATTTTTATCTTCGAATCAAAAAAGCAGATTAAACTTTTACTTGAATCGTAATTTAAAAGAACTCCCTTGATATACTATATTACACATGTCACAAAAATGCTATATGTAATACCTACTCATATATATTAATGTACATGTGCATCTTTAATGGTGAGAGCAATTGAGCATAATTATCTCAAAATACTATCGTTTATTAAAATTTGCCGGATGATCCATTCCATTGTCCCCACATTCAGGAGCATGATAATCAATAATCCGCTTTTTGAAATTTGCCAGTAACATAATCACTTCTGGACTTAGAAATTTAAGATTGCAGTATGCAGACTATAACCATACCTCAGGAATCTGTAACGCTACAAAATATTATTGCAGTTTGATATCAGTTTCTCCCATACATTATACAGCATTATTTGGTTTTATTTTTTTATATCATTGATATTCTCATCCGTCATCATCCACCATCATTAAATTTGGGTTTAATTTGTAATTTTGGACTAAGTTTAGTATTACTTGATTCCAGATTTATGAAAGCTGTTTCGGCCCCGAAGTAATTAAGCAAGTTCGAGCTGAAATGAAAGCAGCCTGTGCCAAATGTGCTCCAGCTTCAATTCCATCATCAACTCCGGATTTATCAATGTTTCAAACAAATCAACTGAAATTGCATAGCTCTTCGGCGCCGAGCATGGATTCACAGCAAGAAGAACAATCAAGACCGATTCAACCAAACATAGACCAAGAGAAATTGCAACAGGCTATTATGTCTTTCAAACAGGTAATAAACAATTGTAATAAGTTTTCATAAGGTTGTAATGCCATGTATTGAAATAAGAATGAAAAGAAAATTGAATGAAACCTAAGAATATTTAATTTGTTATCCCATTTCAAAGGCTTTCGTTCGCTGATTTTTTGAAATCTTGAATGCATGCGCAAAATTAAATACAATGAATAATGGATAGCAATAATAATGTAATGTTATGCATAATATTGTCGTAAATTTTGATTACGTAATTCTTCCAATAAGACTATCAAAGTCTAATGCAAATATTTAATTTTTAGCAAAGTCCATTGTTCCAAGCCCAGATGCAAAACAATATGCAAAGGCCCCAACATTATCCAAGTCCTTTGCCTTTGTATCATCACAGCCCATGGGGCGCTCCTCTATATGCACCACAACCATGGTCAGGACCTATTCCAGCTCCATTCGCAAGTCCATACTCAGCTCAACCGATTCCTGGACCCCAGTACTACCCGCAGGCATATTATCCAGGAGCCGGCAGGATCTCGGTATATTTTAATAATATCATATTACATTGTAAAGTATTATTGACAATAAGAAAGTTAACAATTTGAATTAAATAAATTAATCTACATAAAAAAGTCAATGAAAAAAGTAAAGCCAAATACTGCGCCTAATTTCTATCGACAAGCGTAACGCAAATGTGAAGAGATATCAAAACAAACAGATAACAGCAACATTTTAGGTTTCTCATATTATGAAAATGATAATGATAATTATCAAATGATACCATTTATAGAAAAGCCCTGGTCAAATCTTGATCAATGAGAACGCCTTAATTATTTATCAAAAAACTGAAAAGAATAATGAATCAACAGGGCCGTTACGAATAACTTAAGGGGGTATTCTAGTGTAGAGCGATGAATTTTAGCTCATTTTTAAAGTGTCGTAAAAGAAAGCAATGAATGTTTTTACTATCCATTTTTTTACCACTTGTTTATTAATATTATTAAAATACAAAACAAAAATTAAAAAATAAAAAAGTTGAAAATTGTAAAAACTGGCAGCTGATGAAGTGGGTGGTCTCAAAAAATTGGCACCTCAGTCTTGACATGATTTCAGCCCTCCTAGCCATCGGAAATGCAAAAAATAAAAAGATTATTAATCTACAATGATGTCGCAATCGCCCGAACTAGCGATGAGTGAAAAATTATTTTTTTTACAAATTGGCGACTGTTTGAAAAAAAGTGTTTTTTTTCACTGTTTTTTTGAGTTTCTCGAATTTTTTAAAAATAGTAAGAATTGGAATTTGGTGATAATCCTAGTTCGGGCTATAGATAGATCTATAAACAAGACTCTCTGAACATTTCAAGTGAATCGGTCGATTAAAACTCGAAAAATCGTGTCAACAGTACTGAAAAAGTCTGTTCTGAGAAAAACGCATTTAAAGTTTTGCGTAAAGCCAAACCAGTATGGAGACCGAGTCAGTAAAATGCCTATATCTCCGAAAATAATTCAAATTTTCAAAAACCTTCTCGTACCCATATTCTTAGATAGTTAAACTTTGAAAATATGAAATAAAAAAAAATCGATTTTTTTGAACTTCTACACTAGAATACCCCCTTAAGCACTTTTAGAAAAATACAATAAACTTTCAATTCCTTTGATACAGAAAGAACTTACTTAAATGATAAATGGCTTGTTAATTTTTCTATTTCAATATCGAACTAATTTAAAAATTAAATAAATGCCAAATTAATATAAAATCTTAATTAATTATCAATTTCCCTGAAGAGAATAATGAATCAACTGAGCGATTATAAATAATTAAAAAAAATCGTAAAGTAAATGATTTTTTTTATCTAAGTTTAGTACAGATCTTCGAATTATATTATCACCAGATAAATTATAAAAATTCCTTAATGATTTATCAAAAAACTGAAGAGTATAATGAATCAACAAGGTCATTACAAATAACATAAATAAATTGTTATTTATACTATGTCAGTAGTAAATGACCAAAAGCTATCATTAAGTTAGAGTAAAAATAAATTCTTCTAAGATAATTCTTAATATATTATAATAATTGATTAAATACCGGTTTTTATTATCAATTAATTTGAAAATTAGAAAAATCCACCATTATATACTTATTTAATTATTTTACCCTATTTGGGCTAGATAAGAGCAACAGTTCTAATAATTTCTTCCCCAGCGCGATATGGACTACCGCGATAGACAACACGAAGTTTTAGCGGCGTCCCGGGTTGCGCAATCGGCTGCCGTCAGCGCAGGAGCACATAATATTACTTGTGTCATGCAAGAATTGGGCTACTTGGACGAAAACTTGGAACCAAATGTTGAAAAGATTGCACGTCGCATATCTGGACTGCCTGTGCACAGAGACTTGAAGGAAGACATGTTGGAAGGACTCGACTACTGTCAGAAATTCTCGGTAATAATAATAAGAAATATTTGTAAATAGCATTTTGCATTAAGGCAAGATGCATGAAATTCTCAATAAGAATTGAGATTTAGAAATTTAGGCAATATGATCTACTATTATTTGAAAAATATAATTTTCGCGTTCACTGAAAAATAATCGATACGATTACCAATTGAGGTCTTTCAAACATATTCATATCTGTAATTGTATAAATTAAAATAATTTGTTTACCTATCTCATTTCATCAATTTCGGGTTCGGATAATTTTATTTAAGTGACGTCGAGTCAACTGTAACCAGTAGTACCTACAGAACACGGAACCAACATATGAACGAAAGACATAAATTTTCATTAGAATCGCATAAGCGCGCGACGAAATTCTAAACTTTGGCGAATTTTTATAATTTAA